GTTAGTGCAGGATTACCATTTGGTAAAAACTACACATGATAACTCTTAGTTGTATCAAACTCCTTCGCTGCCAATAGGACAATACTACAGTTTCGCCGCAGACTGTCAGTGACAAAATGGGGTGCATTTGGTCACTGACAGTCTGTTTAGAGGGGTATCAGCAGACTTAAGACGTTCCCTCTCTAAACAGACGCAATACTCATACCCGCCAACGTGTTTGAGCTCTGAAGTAAACGATTATGTCCACATCCTCTCCAGTCTTCTTCTTCTTCTTCATCGCTGGTAGCATGCAAGCGTAGCTGGGCCAGATCTGCGTGATTCAGGATCACATGTTGGGGCCCATAACACACTCATTTTGTTAAGTCTGGAACCTAATGCAGACTCTCCTTCTTGCATAGTTTAGGTGAACCCAGAATCTCAGTTGGATTGCGAAGATGTGGCAGCTACTCAATGACCCAAGAAACAATTATCAGCAGACCAAACAAAAACGACAGCTTTGAAGCTAATTGAGATTCTGGTATTTGCACACATAGGAGCTAATTTGTAGGTGACAACTCCGTTCATGTGAAATGCATTAAAGACCCTCACAAATGCATAATCGATGATAATGATTTTACTAAACGCAGCGTCTGTCGTACAGAGATTAAATTTTAAGCCGATTCCATGTCCCGCTAAACAACCACGCGATCGCTTTAGGAATCAGTTAGATGAGTCTAGCGCTGTATATGGACTTCATTTTCTAAACTTGTAAGGCCGTGACAAACAAGATCAACGTTCTAGGAAAAACATTGCTCACTACACTATAACCTGTCATTAAATCTTTAAAAACAGTCACACATTTCCAAGTGCAAGTGAAAAGTTGCACACATATTGACTGGTTATTCATATAATTTACACATTCTCACTCCAAGTCTGTAGGTTCCTTTTGCAAATTTCCAACTCGTTTTGAGACAATTTAGTCGAACTGAAAAGAAGATAACTGCAGGACGAAATATAATACTCGCCAAATGGCAACTGGTAAATAGTTTTCGAACTGAAAAAAGGCATTAGATGAAAGTTAGCAGTCAAACGGATTCACCAGAATCTCCATGTGATGCGACGTTGGAATCGTTACTGAATAACTGATACGCGGATTGTTAATCTGAAACGTTGGCGGATTTACCTGTTACTAAAGAATCGCAAGTACAGTCAGAATCGGACACTTCGGTGGACGGTAAGTCGACGATATCGTCACTGGCTGCATCACTGAAGGCTTGTTCCTCAGATCCACAGGTGGTTATGTTGCCTGTTGTCTCGCAGTAAGAAACTTCATTTGAGGGTGCATCGACGAAATCACCACTGGCTAACTCACCGACAGCGGGTTTATCAGATCCGTAGGTGGTTTTGATGGATGGAAGCGTGTCGCTCATTGACAGCCAATTATCAATTCGGTTTGACAGTGTGTAGTTGACACCGTTGATGGCTGCAGTGCAGGGGGCCTTATTCGATGGAAGCCTATTGCTAGTTGACTCACAATTGGACTCTGCGTTTGATAATGCGTCAACTAAATTGTCACCGATAAAAGGTCTTGCAACTTGTTTACGTAATGTGATGGTGGATTTGGTGGTTACTAAGATGTGGTCAGCTGACAAGGGGTTGGATGCTTTGGTTGGTTGCTTAACCTGCATAGTGGTGGCTATTGGTGTATCCTTTGGTTGGGTTTTGGCATCATCTGGGCAAACATTTTCTTTATTTTCTTTGTTTTCGTCGCTTGATGTCCACCTGGCGTTTGATATCCACATCGAATGTTGCATTGTAAACTCCTTTACATCTCTTTCAAAATTCAAAATGCTTTTCAGCGTTCCCTTGATTGAGATCCTAAAGTAACTGGAAGTAAAAGACCGCTTGGCTTTTATGCTTGTTTACATCAAATGGTACGAACATATACACTCGTTAAAGTAGAATGACCCACCTCCTTTCCAACACAGAGCAAAGCCAAGACCGCTTGTTAAAAGGCCTCACCGTTTCAGGAACAAGAATGAAGAATTAGTGATGAATGAACAGATCTGCATCCGAATGCGCTGCTTCGATATATTTGAGTTATTTCGGTCTGACGAGTTCCGTGAGTGATTACCACTGAGTGAAGCGTTGGCATAGCAAACAAAGGTGTCATGTGACTGAAAAGTGATTGCAGATATGAGATGTCAATTTTGTGAGTTGTGTGGGTATTCTTTGACAACCTACACCTTGTGCAATTATATACCTTCTACGCTCAGGCTAACAGTCTTCTTAGGATTGCAAAATTCTGCTTTGCAGAAATTTAAAGTAAATGGGCGTATTCAATTCAATTGGTCGCTCCTGCATTCAAAACGATGCAACTTCCAAATACCGACGAAAACGATGGAAATTTGTACCAAGAAAAATCACGTCTACGAGACACATAGAGTGGTTGCACATTGAATAGCACCTTGTTTGTTGAACGCGTCGGCTTCCACATGATCATTAAACATGTAATTTGCGTACATGAGCATAGCTGGTGTAGATGGTGAGGGCATGCTTATATGCCATCGTTTGAATCGTGCCGCGAAATTTTATGACTGCAATCTCATGAGCCGCTTCTCGTGAACATCTTCATTTGAAGGCACATGCATATTGTGCTAGTCTTGCAAAGCTTCACAGGGCATCGAGAGTGTCCTTCACGTGGGGATCGGCGACACGGACTCGTGTTTTGAGTTTTTCCTAAGTCATGATTTACTCTAATCCTGGATATGGGCCGTAGTTGAAATACCAAAACTACGTGAATGGATTGAATCATTATCAACAAGTAATCTTTGAGAATGGTCCATGTGCGTATTAACTCAAAGCACATATGCCTAGTGTCTGGTATTTTCACCTTAGGTGTTGCTGGACGCCTGCACAACAAAGTCAACTCAGTCCGAGGAGGACATCAAGTTGGAACAAGAGCGGGGTGAGCGAAGGGGTCACAAGGCCATCCTGAGTAAGGAGCGGCCCTGTGGTGAGCTAGCTGACCCCTTGGGACGCACATCACTCCACTACGCAGCCCACGCCGGACACCTAGATGCCTGCCGACTGCTTGTGCGACATCCCCTTAGTCGGGCGGACCCTGGAACCAAGGACGGTGTGTACCAGTGGAACGCTGTTCACCATTCTGCCTCACAGGTGTGCCAATACTTTGCCAAAAAACACCTGGTTCTTGTTGTGTATTGTTGCCTATCTTGCAGAATTATGCAAAAGCATGAAGTGAATCAAGTTTATTCACGTCCACTAACCCGGTCATCGCAGCCTCACACTCACACGCCTCCCACTTTTCACGACGTGCTCGTCGGTCACGTGGGACAGCCTGCTCATTCA